TCCTGCTCGCCGGTTGGGTCATTTGTGTTCCTTGGGATATGCCCGCCGTGCCTACCAGCGGGGTTCTCCTCTCCGTTTGGTTTTGGTTTGCCGGGTCGGCGATCTCCCTGAGGGGGACGCACCAGGCCCTTCGGCCACCACAGGTCGGAAGACCACATCCCATGCAGTGAACCCAGTGCATATTACATCTCTCTTGGAGGAGTACGAGGATCTTTTTCCTGACAAACTCCCTGAGGGCCTTCCCCCAGACCAGGGGGTAGCTCTGACAATTCCACTAGAGGAGGGAACTAAACCGGTAAAGCGACCAACTTTCCGGTACAGCCCAAAGGAAATGGACGAGATCAGATCACAGGTCAATTACCTGTTGAGAAAAGGTCTGATCACGGAGAGCAGTAGTCCATTTGGAGCTCCAGTACTTTTTGTACCAAAGCCAGATGGCAGCCTCTGAATGTGCATCGACTATCGAGTACTAAATAAAGCCACAATTAAGAACAAGTGGCCCATTCCTCGCATAGATACCCTTTTGGATCAACTGCAAGGAGCTAAGATCTTTTCGGCAATAGACTTGCAGCAAGGGTATTATCAGCTGAGGATTGATAAGGCAGATTGTGCCAAAACAGCGTTTGTTACGCCGCTGGGCTTGTACGAGTTTAAGGTACTACCTTTCGGACTCGCAAATGCCCCAACCATATTCCAGCAGATGATGCACCATATATTTGGTGATCAAATTGGCAAACACGTCCTGGTATATTTGGACGACATTTTGGTGTTTAGCCGAACTGCTGAGGAGCACACATGGCACCTAAGACAGGTGTTAGAAGTGCTACAACAACAGAAGTTGTATTGTCGTATGCACAAGTGTCAGTTCAATAAGGAGGAAATCTCCTATCTGGGACATGTGGTGTCTCAAGAGGGTATACGCCCAGATCCCGAAGGGATCGAAAAGGTTAAGAACTGGCCTGTACCACAATGTGTGAAGCATGTACAGTAGTTCCTCGGGCTGGTAAACTATTTTCGAAAGTTCATACAGGGATATTCGAAAATGGCTACTCCCTTAACAGACTTGACCAAACAGAATGGCAAGTGGGAGTGGACCGCAAAATGTCAAGAGACCTTTGAGCATATAAAGGAGTGTTTAACCACAGCTCCATTGCTCAAGATGCCAGACCCTGAGAGACCTTTTGAGGTCATAGCAGATGCCTCTCAGACTGCAGTGGGAGCAGTTCTGATGCAAGATAATCACCCAATCTGCTATGCCAGCAGAAAGTTCCTCCCGGCGGAGTTGAACTATAGTGTGGCGGACCAAGAAGCGTTAGCTTCTATTCACGCTATCCAGTTATGGAGGTGTTACCTTGAAGGGACACGCTTCAAACTGGTGACAGATCATTGTCCGTTAACTTACCTTAAGTCACAACCACAACTGAGCCGAAGACAGGCCAGGTGGTCTGAAATCTTATAACAATTTGACTTTGACTAGGAATATCGCCCAGGGCGAAAGAATGTGGCTGATCCACTCTCTCGCATTCCTCCATCTCCCGACGAACGGGAAGCCAGAAGGAAAAGTCAACTAATTGACTGTGGCTTAAGAGTAATACACAAGCGGGGAGATAAGAAAAAGACAGTAGAGGCAGAAGACCTGGCCTCCAGGGTCCGTCGGGCCTATGGCCAAGATCCCCAGCTTGCGTCTGTAAAACAACAGCAAGAGATGCGCTGTACAGACGGGTTATGGCTGCGAGGCAAACAGGTGTATATACCAACCAGTCTGTGGACTAAAATCTGCCAGTTGGCTCACGACCATCCAAGTGCAGGACACTCTGGTCAAGCCAAGACCCTGGACTTGGTCCAGAGGCATTACTGGTGGCCAGGAATGCGACGAGAAATACAACTATATGTTGATACTTGCCTGGTTTGTCAACAGGCCAAGTACTCTCGTCAAAAGACCCCAGGCTTATTACAGCCTCTGGGCATTCCTGAGGAGCCATAGACTAAATTGTCCATGGACTTCATTACACAACTGCCAAAAACTAAGGGAGGTCATGATGCTATCGTCGCGTTCGTCGATAGACTGACCAAAATGGTCCGCTTCGCAGCCACGACCACTGAGCTCTCCGCAGAAGGAGCAGCTGACCTGTTGGTGCAAAATGTGATAAGGCACCACGGTCTCCCCTCTCAAATAGTGTTTGACAGAGACGCTCGGTTCACTTCCAGGTTTTACCGGTACCTGGCTGAGAGGTGGAAGATCCAGCTCAACATGAGCACTGCGTACCATCCACAGACGGATGGCCAGACCAAAGTCATGAATCGGGTTCTGGAGGATTACTTACGCAGTTATACGCGTTCTGACCATGACGCGTGGGATGAACTGTTAGCCATGGCCGAGTTTGCAATGAACAACTCGAAAAACAGTTCCACCCAAGAGACCCCGTTCTATTTGAACTACGGTCAGCATCCAAAGAGTCCCTTAGCTCTTGGAGTGCAAATTCGGAAGCCTTTGAAGGGCTATGACAATCCGAATGCCCGTGGCTTGGCAGTGGCCATTGATAGGGCGCAGTAGCCTTACTTAAGGCATACTGGTACACCCCTCGTGGAGGGCCTACCAGCTGTGACACGATTTGATCACCGTGTCCAATCAGCGCTGAAAGAGGCCAGGGCGTGCTTAGAAAAAGCACGGGATAGGCAGTCAAAGCATGCGGACCGCCATCGGAGGGATGTGTCGTTCAGTAAAGGAGATGACGTCCTCCTTTTGACATAGCATATTACCCTCAAACACCCTGGAACTCGAAAATTACTACCGAGGTGGATTGGGCCCTTCACCATCCTCGACCGGATAGGTCCTGTCGCATATCGACTGGAACTTCCAGAAAGCATGCATAAGATACATCCGGTATTTCATGTATCAAAGATTAAGCCGTATAAGGCCAGTGGCAGAGTACAGCCACCTCCAGTTCCTATCGAAATCGAAGGAGAACTGGAATATGAAGTTGAACGCATCTTGGATAAAAGAATGAAAAAGCGCGGAAGGCGCCAAAACTCAGTAGAGTACCTTGTCAAATGGTTGGGATATGGACATGAGCATAATAGCTGGGAATCAGCAAAAGCAGTTGCAAACGCACAGGAATTGGTTCAAGCATTTGAAAATGGAAGAACTCCTGTCGTGCATGTATCAACTGATCGAAGTACGAAACGTACACGGTGAAATAAGCTCATGTGTGGTTATGCCTTTGACAGGTCTTGCTCAAGTGGGCACAGAAGCAGACCGGTTATACCGGACCCCGTACAAGAACGCTGTTCGGACACATGAATGCGATGTTTGCAGCCATTTTGAATGGGGAACGCCTGGCCACCGACCAGCCATTGATCCAACCCCCTCGTGCACCCGTTCGTGGACGTGGACGAGGACGCGGTGCTTCGCAACCTCGGGGAGGACATAGTTGGGCATATGGTGGCCGTACATATCGGGGTAGGGGACGTGCAGGGTGACCTGCATGTTCCACGTTTTTCCTTTGGACGGACATAGGCCGGAAGTTCAGAACCTTGCAGCCCAAGTGCTGAACGAAGAGTTTTAATGAGGGTTGTCAAAGGCCGGCAGGTCATGTAAAACAACCACTCTTTCTCTTCACCACAGTTTGTATAATGTATATATGATTACCGTGCAAACTGGGCATGTGGCAAATCGCACAGCCAGTTGCCGTATCCATACATAATGTTTCTGCTCCTGTATCCACGCAGTGGGACGAGGACGCCCCTCTCCCTGAGGGGGACGAATGTTACGCGCACCGGCCTGATGTGGGGGACGCCCTGCCCAAGATAACTATCCTCAACCCATAGTAACCATTCTAGGTATTAGGATACGGGAGTAGGAGGGGTGGTCCCGCCTAGGTCCCCGTAAGGACCTAAGTGCCCGGCGAGGCGGGTCCGCGGCTCAAAGAGGGCAGGAACCCCACACCCACAGACTTTACGTATCACAATTTCAATATGCGAGTGACATCAATCATATTTCTGCCTCCATGGCCTATTTATTAATTAATTTGGCCAACGTATTAGTGTCATGGCTGTCCACCATTACCCTTAGAAACATGCTTTTCATTATATTTTTTTCCTTATGCCTTCTACATGCCTTGCCACTATCTTGAATCAAGGCGGATCTATCGGCATGCTCTTCTCGCTTCCTGGCAACGCTGTGCGGCTGTCCATGTCACTGCTGAACTGGTCTATGGTGTTGTGACACCCAGTCAGTCGCCATGTGCTGGTCATGAGCCAGTCATTGGGTGACATGGCACCATGCCTAAGGGCGAATTTAACACAGCTGAATAGACCATGTGTGTGGTGGACCATGGGAGAACATGTACGGGGGTTCGGAATGACGCCAACACTTCCTGGGTGAGGATGGAGCTCATCGGGCTGGCGCAAAAGCACCTCAGGAGAACCGCTGTCAGCGTGGGCAAGGAGAACTTCAGGTAGCGGTATACGGGCAGCGCTCACGTGTTGACGTCAGTGGCAATTTCTGGCAGGAGACTTGCCGGAGAGTCGGAATTCGACAGGTGCCGGATGCCATTGTTTTTGCTCAGCACACCTGTCAACGGTCCGCGCTTTGGTGACGTGTGCGAGCGCTTCGCGGCATATTACCACGGCCATGCTAATGCATGGCCAAGCCGCATAGTGCAAGGGACACGGCACAATCTGGTGGCATTCAAGGTTGATCGAAGTGTGCAGAGTGTCTCGCAGCATGCTGAAGTCACAGGGGGCAGACACGTTGTGCATGCCAGCACGTGCGCTACTTGATTGTGGAACCAACGGCGGTGAATAGTTGGATCTGGAGTCAATTCTGTTGAGCACAAACGGCCCAAAGTACCTCATTGCTCTGGCTGTGGTGCAGCTATGAGAAGCTACTCCGTGGTGCCCTTGGTGTCTCACTTCAGCTTCAAGACCTTGTTCAGAAATCAAATTCAAAGCGTTCCTCCTGGGGATCTGGACCACTCCCTGGGCCCAGAGTGGCTGTCATGGCCCGTCCAGGACCTGAGTATGTGTGTGCAACATGGGGTGCCTGGCTTGCCGGCTGCATTTCAGTGCCCCTCGCAGTGTCACACACAAACAGGGAGATAGGCTACGTCCTGAGAGACGCTGGTGTGTCCATGGTACCGGATTGTGCACAATATGACACCTTTTGTGGCGATTTGACAGTAAAGTGCTTAAGCGCAGGAATGAAAAGGCAACTCCCTGACAGCTTCCGTCATCTCTGGTCCATTTTCTTGCCTCAACTGTGCCGATGGCAACTGCAAGGACCTAACCTGCCTCTCTGCCAGCCTGACACCCCGTTAGCTGGAGTGGATGTTGTTGCCGGTTGCCAAACTGCAAGCAGTGGAAAAAATTTTCCTGTAGCGACAGTGGAACATATTGTGCAATGGGCACCCCCCTTCTGGGCCAGATTGTGCGTGAGATTCTTTTTTCACGGAAGATGTGGAAGGTGGTACAGGTCTCCAAGTGGGTTGTACAGAGTGTGAACACCAGAGGGTGTTGAGCCTCCATCCATCACCTGCAAGTCTCCAGAAGTATACGCAATCTCGAATCTTGTCATGTGATGGGTCCAGTACTCTCAATCTGAACCATTGAACAGTTCTGCTTGACATTAGGTGCAAGACTGTGAAACTGTCTTTTGAACCCTGGGCAATGCTGCCTACCAGGTGCTGTCATCTGAGGGTCTTCTGGATAAACCCACTCTTGCTACAGCTGCACCAGATGCTGAAATCAAACAGCTTCAGTCTGTTGGCTGGTATGCCACCTTGGCTGACGAAAACGAAGGTGAATATGGTGATTTCCAGCTGAATCCGGAGGCTGGTGCGATCATCATATACACGAGCGGGACCACAGGACGCGCGAAAGGTGCCCTCCATACCCACAGGTGACACGACATGCTGCACATCACTGTTACTGATTTGCTGATATTGATGAATTGCAATATTTTTTTGCCTGCAAGGGTTTGGCACAGTGGTGGAAGCTCTTTTGGGTCTGCTGCCAAGTTGCTGGAAAGCTGTTGAGCTTCTGCTAATGGTACCTGTTCAAAAGTATCAATGTTGCAATGTTGCGTGCCACAAGCAGCATTTTCCAAATAAGCATGCTCTTGAAGCCGATACCTGCAATGGCTTCAACATTATCGTGCATGAATGTGTGGCTGGCCATATACTTCAGGCACGTGGCCAAGTCTTACCCTGAATTGTAAAGTGACAGCACATGTTGGAGTGCAGGTCCATTGCAACTGCTTTTGCACCTGACCCCAGCTGGCGTTACAGCCGTTGTGCTCATCTTCGTTTTCCATAACTCACATGTGCATGTTCTGAAGGAGCCTGGGGTCCCAGATGTGGAGTCTGTCAAGATCCTGGGGCTGGTCAAAAGAGGACTGCATCCTTCATGCACTGCCACTGCATCACATTCATGGCATCGTAAACGCGCTGCACTGCGCCCATTTCAACGGGGCACGTGTAGACTTCCTGTCGCCCTTCTCTCCTCAAAAAATCTGGAAGCGCCTGCAGGTCAGCTCACCGCCAAAGTCCCTGCATGAAAGTGCAGCGAAACCGTTGCATCAAACGCCCAAAGATGAGCTCTGACCACTGTGGAAGAGGACAATGGTATGTGGAAGAATGACCACGCCCCATGGTATTTTGGCGCAGGAAGGCGACGTCACATTGTTCATGGGCGTTCCAACGATGTATGCGCATCTTCTCTCCTGGTACGACTCGGTTTCGTCATCCGAGCAAGCCAGCATGCGTGAGGCCGCTTCTGGTCTGCGGCTGTTCGTGTGCGGCTCTGCTGCATGCCCAGCGCCTGTTATGAAGCGCTGGCAAGATGTGACAGGCCATCGGCTGCTGGAGAGATATGGAATGACGGAGCTAGGCATGGCGCTCTCCAACCCCCTGAAGGTGAGCGGGCAGGCGACAATGCTTCGCATCTCACAAGGGAAACCCCACATCACCAACAAGAACAGCAGATATCAGAATCCAGGAATGCCTCCATTGCGCCTTTCGCTCGCTCTTCCCTTCTCCCTGCGTTCAGTGGAGCATTTGAGGACTTTTGCGCTTGTTGATTACTTTTCACTGGCGTCCAGGTAGCCGCAAATGCATATGGCTAAACATGACACGATGTGTTTAATTACCGTGAAACTTTGAACGCCTATCAGCGATTTAGAATTCAGGCCACACACCAAGATTCAACCAAACCTTGTGCGCCTGGATGCTTCATTTACCATCAAGGCACATGGCACGTATCGTTAATGTTCAATACAAGGAGTATCTCGCTCTTCCACTGTCGATTGCCTGGGCTGAAGTCTGATTAGTCACCGATTGGCGATTCGTTCGCGGCTATTACCTACACCGCAACAGTGTCCCAGATCTCTTGCTGATGAAGTGGTGACGCCTTGTCTATGCAGGGAGAAAGGCGTCAGAATTCCGTGGGTATCCCTTTGCCTGGTGTGGATGTGAAAATAGTGGAATCGCCCACCCAACAAGGGATCACTTCCAGCGTAGAGACGCCGTTGGCTGGAAGCCATAAACCCACACGCCCTGGGGACCCTTCTCTGCATGTGCCAAGAGGCCCTGGCGAGTTGCGCGTCCGAGGCGAGACTTTGTTTAAGGAGTACTGGGGGATGCCAGACGAAACCAATGCGGCGTTCGATGACAATGGTTACTTCAAGACAGGGGACACGGCGGTCTTAGAAGGCGCCCCCCCTTACTACAGAATTCTTGGTAGGACGAACGTGGACATTATCAAGAGTGGTGGTTACACAATATCGGCCCTCGAAATAGAGAGCTGCATATTGGAGCACCCGGCTGTCGCTGAGTGTGCGGTTGTTGGACTTCCCGATGAGATTCATGGCCAGGTGGTGGCAGCGGTTGCGGCATGCTCGGATGGGTCGTCGCTCAGCTTGGATGACTTGAGAGAGTTCTGCAAGGACATTTTGGCTGCTTACAAGATGCCTCAGCGCCTGAGGGTAGTTAGCAGCATACAGAGGAACGCAATGGGGAAAGTTAACAAAATGGACCTGGTGAAGTTGTTCCCTGACGGCGTCTAGTTCGAGTGATCTTGCGTGCTTTCGATGCAGACGAGTATTGATTGAGAAGCCTCCACTCAATGCACAGTTCACGGATGTGGGTGAGCGAATGGCAGCCGCAGGCATATCTTCATTCTCGACGAAAGTAGCTAACGAGCCAAGTCAGACATCCGTCTTACGGTCCTTCCCAGCCAGTTCTCACAGGGGAGTCTTGCAGAGAACATCGATCATCTCCTCGCGAGTAGCAGTGATGAAATAAGAGACTTGGCATAGGATCCATGTGCAGCAGCGCGTGTTATGGTGGGTCGATTGCTGTTTGCAGTCGCCTTGATGAAGGCAGCGGCTGCACATGTGTTGAATGATTCAACTGTGATTCCTTGTGAGTGTGGCACTCGCATTTAGCACATGGGGCCGGCAGTGCTATGGATCGAGAATGCCATTGCACTGCTGCTACTGCGACATACGGCAGTGGGAAGACGGCAGCAGGATGAGGAATCATTCCTGACATCAATTGTCGATGTTGACACTGCCAGGGCAGGTGCAAGCAAAACTTTCATCCGCACCTTTGAGCTCCGCCCCAGGGTTTTTGGCCAAAACTGGAGCCACCAAACCCATCGGCGGCTGCCTCTGTGGGGCACAACACAAAGTCCAAAGAAGGGTGGCGAGACTGCCAGCTGGAACCCGCTTGGGGCCTGCAATGTCGGCCACAGTTGGGCAATGAATGAATGATAACATACACAAACAGCGTGCACCACCAGCGATGCCTCCCGGATAACTCAGCGCTTTCTGCCCCACGACCCTTTGCTGTATTGAAGAAAGCACCATGAAGCTCCAAAAAATACGAGGAGCACTGGAGGCTCCAGATATTCCGCATACCAGAATATTGAATACAATCTGACACATGGAGTGACCATATTCCTGCCTTGCAAAGGGCCCTGCAAAGGCTGCACCAAAAGAGCTCCCCACATGCACGCACCTCTCTACACAAGGCCACATTCCCATTTATTCTTGTCATGCTCAGCACTCGTTATTTTCCAAGGCGCCTGCATACAAATCTCCGCCACACGTGTTCAAAATCACCCAATTCTGCAAGTAAATGCACCGTGGTCGGCCTTCGAAGCTATGCTGTGAAGCTGCCCACCATATGAATTGCGTCAGGTGATGAACTCGGGTAAGTGTGTGCCTGTGCGGACCCTGGCTCCACACCTGCCTGCTGTACCACCGCAAGGTAAGCGCCCGAATTGAGCCCATGCAGTTGGGCAAATCCCCTTGTTCCATGCAACTATACCAGCAACTATCAACAAATTTGCTTCTCTGCTGGCGAACCTGCAGCCCTCGGGGGGAACACCGCCACTCAAGAGGGACGGGTGGAGATTTCAGTGCTCGAAGGCCTAAGATCTCACCCTTCCCAGATCCAACTTGGGCAAGTCATAAGCGCGAGGACGCTGGCATGGGGACGCTGGCATGTGTCCCCTTGCATCTTCATTCATCATCATTTGGCTTGAGGCGTCGGAGTCGAGGAACAGCGACGTGGGCTCGGGGTAGTTTGCAAACCCATTCGATGAAATTGGATGCGAACGAACTGCGGGTGAAAGCACAGCTTGTAGCATTAAACCAAGAACAACAGCAACCATACGCAAGCAACAGGGTGCCTTCATCTCCTATATCGCTGGCAGAAAACAATGCGAGAAAAGTTTCGATACAAAACCACAGCGAATAGCAAAAATTACCTGCACTCAACATAAAAGACCCAAGGACAATCTCAAATTCATGAAAGACTACACCGTTCTCTGTGTTTCGGTACAAAAGAGATCTAACGCTCTCAATAATTTCGCCTTGGGGCTGCTCTTTTCTTGCAGTGTCTGTGCTGGCATACAATGAATTGCCGTTTTTGGCAAACATACGCAGTACCATTGTTGCCTTAACCAATTACAATCTGCTTGCAACTCTGCTGCAATGCAATTAACGAACGACAGCAAACAGCACACAACTTCATCGATCATGCACATCAATGGAACTGTTGAAACCAGGACTGCCCCAATTCGCCTCACCCACTGGGTGATCTCCGAAACACAAAATTGCAAATTCCAGTCGCCAAGGTTGTGGAACCTGCGAGTGCACACACCTGGAGCCATGGGTTGAGTCGGAATCCATCCATCCCGGACTTGTGTATGTTCAAGTTCGTCGAATGTATCACAATACGATAGAGCAGCATCAGACTCGTCCTGGCACTCGGATTTCGAGGTGACTCCAATCCCCAGCAATCTCGTAACCTTCCTTACAAAGCCCCCTTTCTTTTTCTGCTTGCTCTTTTCAGCCCTGTGGCAGGTCGTTCACAACACCATTAGGCACGAACACATGAACTCACATGAGCCCACAGTTTCAGTGTCCTCACAACGTGAGTATACCATTGTCCAAACACCAGCAGCATCGAAACCCTTAAACGGAGATGTCAAAAAACATCCAGCACTTCACACGTCTGTGAACAGTGGACACTCCAGACAACCCCTCAGCATACCCACAAGCTGCAGCTGCCGAGCAAGCGGGCTAACTCATAGCAATAACAACATCATACCTCTGTGAAGTGGACGATGCACCTTCTGAACGTTGTGAGCTGCGAGAGGGTGCCACCCCCAATTCGCATCTTGCAATACCACTTGGTGCCGTCATTCCAACCATCCTCTGCTGGGGATGGAGAGGCGGTGGGGTCCCATGGCCCATGGCCCTGGGATCGGGCGGCAGGTATTGCTGCCATGAAGAATCGCTGGAATCTGGATCAAGGAGGTAGCCCTTTGCCTCTGAAAACAAGTCACTTTCTTGATTGGACGAGCCACCCCCAAGTAGTGTGCTGCTGCTTGCAGAATTCTGAATCGCAAAAGGCATTGCAAACGTGACACTCCAACTACACATCTGGTGAGAGTGGCAGCAGAACTGATTGTACAAACGAGCACACCCACCTGATGAGTATGACCCCAACGACCAGACGGGCCTGTGACAGGCTGGAGGGGCCCCCCTCTGGATGCCATGCTGCTGCCTCTGGAGTCTGGCGTTTCCACTCCCTCCTCTTGCCAAGTGTATGGTATGCCATGCATGCCTGCCATCATGCCCATGCCGCCGAACCCATGCACAAACTGGGCAGAGTGCGCGCCCCCCTGCATGCCCATCTGTGTGCTTCTCTGTGTGGACCGCTGCATGCTCCTATGCATGGTCCCATGGATGCTGCTGCCACTGTGCATGGCACCATGCATACCACCCTGCATGCCTAGTGGGCTGCGACCATGCATTTGGGCCATATGGCCTTGCATGCCTCCCACAGGCATTCCTGACAAAACCATGGGCTGCATTCCGGGCATCCCGGCAGGCATGCCTCCCATTGCCATTGGGTGGACAGCAACCATTCTCTGCATCCCTGAACCTGGGTGCATGCCCCCCAATTCCTGCTGCATCTCAGGAGTGCCGTATCCCAGTGGCATACTTTGTGTTCGCTGCATCGGCTGCTGATGGAGGACATGCTCTCGAAGGTGATTGAGCTCTTCCAGCTCTTGCTCACGAAGATAACAAACCTGCCAGGTAGGTCGGTCAGATTGAGAACATTGTCAGGGTATTGGCAGAAGCACGTGGCAAGCTCCACAGAAGGGGTCTTTCCATGCGGCCATCAGGACTAGAGGCGGTGAACAAGCCAATACCACCACAGATGAGAACAATCACATCACGAAAATGCAGTGCTGGGGTAGTGATCATCACCTTGTCAAGCTGCTCGACTTTTGCCTGAAGCCTGTGAACTTCCACTTCCAGTGACCGGTCCCAAGCCCCCGTAGGGCCTTCTGGCCTGCTAGAGCGGCTGCTGCCAGAGCCCTGAACAACAGCAACTCGAGGATTAGCAAAATGCAGGCACCTGATTGCCGAACGCCTTAAACACTGTTCACCAAGAAGGGGTCCAGTGCCTGCACCAGTCACAGGGACAGCACAAACAAGGAATGCAAAGCCCAGTAGATTCTACACAGCACCTGTTGTGGAAGAGCTTCCATAAGAGCAGGATTCCAAACATTGAAAAAATGAGTGCAACATCAATCGTGAGGTATGCAGACAGCTAACGATAGTCATCCTTCTCGATGCCAGGGTTGCTACATGAGGGCCACGCTGAATGCTGCTGAGGGATATCTGCGCACCTTGCTGAGCTTTGCCTCCAGTTCCTGAACCTTCTCCTGCAGCAGTCGCAATTCATGCTGTGTGCCCCCGGCATGCTTATCCTCCCAGTCCTTTTGCCGCTTTTCGAATATCTGGACTTGTTTCCTCAATCCATTTAGAACTTGAGACAAGGACTGATCTGGCTGCTCTTGAGGCTTTACTTGCAGCGCTTTGCTTGCACACTTCTCCCTCTTCCGAGATCGTGCTCGCAAATAGCGCTGCATCTGCTGTGACGCTCGCAATTCTGACATCTTCTCCAAGCATTTCATCGCCAAGGGATCTGATCGGTAGAGGGTTGCTTGGCTTGTGGCACTACCAGCAACATTGTACCTCTGCGGATGAACTCCAATCTGGCCACAAGCACAGTCGAACAGTGGCTCAGAAAATGGAAAAGTAGGCAACACCACTAACGCATTTTGGTGCAGGCGTGGGCAACAAAGGCGAAGAATTATTCTATCGTGCCCACCTGGTTTCCCCACACTTACACTTGCTCTCTGCAATTCACTTGCAATCTGTAATTCACTTGCTGGGGAAGTGCAGAAAGGTGCTCTGAAACTGTGCTTGGTGCATCAGGAGGTGCTTTTGTTTAACTCACACACAAGGAAATGGAAAACAAAAGTGTTAGGTGCACAATATGTGTAAGGCTGGCCCACAATGTTGCTGTTGCTGCCATTCACATTACAGCTGCAACACTGTGACAGCCTCGTGTCTCTGTCCTGCATATGAAGTTCCACGGGCAGGTATGTCCAGTGCTTGTGGCCAACGTGGATGTGCATGCAACCATACTGCCACATGGTTGAAACAGCTGGCAATGATCGCAGTCTCCAAAACATCTTGCCTGGAACTAATGCAGCACACACCTACCTGCTGAAGGTCTTCTGCAAATCTGCATGTGGACAGAGTGTCCCTGAGGTGACTCTCATCTCCAAAGACACACGCAATCAGCAAAGTCCTGCAATTTCCACCAATCGAGTCCTTGAGGAAGTGAGTAAGCTTGCAGTCTCCAAAGGGAACATATGGCATTTTCCGTTTGAGTTCCTTCGCAACCTGTGCACAACAATGTAGCGCAATTAGCCGATTGAAACTTGGATTTCAACATTCACCCACCAGATAGCGAGTTCTCCATTCACCCAATCCAAAGCCAGGGCAGGATCATTCATGGGAAAACACCATATTCTGTTCACACTTCAATGAACCAGTGACCTCTCCACACAGGGATTGTGTGGTACGGTGCCTGGCAGGGAACCAAGGCACAATGTTGGGTATGCTATCCTTCAAACTAAATCCAGACAGGCATCCATAAATACCACTGTAGTGTTCAAGAAAATCTGAACACTATACAGAGCGGGAGGGGATGTCGGGAGCTGAAGTTTTGTCCCCTTCAAAACTACCAGCAAAGGTTCATAAACGCACATAAATACGCAACAGGTAGTTTGATAGATGCACACCCTAGAACAACCTCTGGCAGAACCAGCCACATTTGGGTTAAAGTGCACCTTGTGAATGAACTGTTGGTGTGGCACTTACTCACCATGGACAAGACACCGATCGACCTGTTCACAAATGCTGCTTCCTTCATAAGTGCACCAGTCTTGGGATTCGTTTTCCACAGCCGCTCAGACCCAGCCAAGTCTACCAAGTTCAGTTTTGAATGACAATTCCTTCCATCTGCAAGAATTCAAAGCCATCGTTTCAGGTCATTTGTTGCAGTGCCATCTGTAAATGACAGCCAAAAACAACCAAGCAATTGGCATCCTATAGCGTAGGACAATGCGCATAGGATCTATCCACATTGTACCACCACTGGGAATTGGATACGAGACGGGAAGCGAGTGAATGTTACAAATCGTCGCAGTAAGCAAATCATCACAGTGAAACGCTGTAGATAAATTTCTTCCTGTGCCACTTCCTATATATATATATAATTAGTCAATGCACACATCTGACAATTCTTAGCAACCACAAACAGCATGGTGATGCTTCACCTCAGTCTTTGAACCTGCGCTGTTGCTGACAGGCTTTCAACAAGCATGTTTGCAAAATACAACAACAACCTGATGAACAATGGGGCCAACACAAATAACCACCATGACGGTCACAAAACTAAACCCCACCTATCTCAGTTTCTAGCCACAATGTGAAGATCGTGTGTGCTCTTGCAGAACGCAGGTTGCTGCTCCCATTTTCTGTCGAGTGCAGATGGCTCATTCCCTGCCCCAGGAAAATGATACACTGTTTAATTCTAGTTAAGAATTCAAACACCATTGGTTTCGGACATGGCTGAGGGGCTGAAAAGAATCACAAACAATCAGCCCATGCCAGCTCATAGCAAAAGTCAGCAGCTCCCAACGCTCTGCACCGTAGTTGCATCCAGGAGACCGTTTCAGTGCAGGAAACCAAGAACTCACTGTGTCCAGACAGTGGGATGCACTTGCCTTTTTCAAGTGGTTCAAAGCTTCTTCTGCAGATCTGACATCCTCAAGTTCCACATTCTTGAATGTCATGCACCCTCCAGCAACATAATTGCTCCTGTACACCACCCAACATTCATGGAAAGCCTTAGCACGCCAGTAGCCACCTCAATCAAGCAACAGCAGGAACCAACCAAACAAGCACAAACAACTCGTAGCAAACACGTCCCCAGGAAAAACTTTACTGTTCATCTCTAGCAGGACGAAACACCTGCAGTAACGATCCCAACAAACGATGTTAAACACTACACATTAGTAGCACTGGCACCAGTTGGCACCCATGCAGTACACCAATTAACCGGTTCAGCCCCTCTGCTTCATTGGGCTTGTGATGGCAACTGAACTGCTACATGGCAACAATGCTTCTAGGTAGACAGGTAGATAATAGCCTACTTGCAGCTGGTGTCCTTCACAGAAATATCCTTCTGATCGGGATGCAGAAGATCCACGATTGTCTCGTTGTAAATTTCCACGAATGTCACATTCACACTCCATTTCTCCATTTCTTCCAGATCTTCAAACACCTGTACACAAGTACACAACAGTACAACCATCAATGCAATGGTTGAGCATTATGGACACTGCAGTGCTTGGGTGCAAATGGTCTGGCACCTGCCAACTGTTGTTTGTGTGTCACAAACTGCACGACACCAGCGAACGAAATGACTGGACATTGACACAACAGGTTTTGCCATCAGGGCCTTTAGCCTTGCGCACCTGCATAATGGCTCTTGGAACGACACCTTGCCTACCCTTGTCTAATATCGATGCTGGGTCAGAACCTGTCAATTCGCCAAAAATGGAAAGCAACAACTCAGCCTCCTGTAAGCACATAAAGTTGACAAACAGCAGCACAAAGGCAACTTGACACAATGGCAGCAAGCCTGCAGTGAGGGCAGCATACATCACCTGGTGAGCAAAGTGTATGCGCTCACTGCTAGTACAGCCAACCGTCTATGGGCATGGGCACAAGTGCCCAATAGAGTTGCTTTACTGCAGTCGCCAATGACTTCTCACCTAACATCGTGTATGACTTCCCTGCCCCAGTGACACCATAGGCCAGAATGGACGCATTGTACCCCTTGCTCACTGACGCCACAACAGCTCGGGCACAATCCTGCAAGCACAAGATTTGTGTCAAAAGCATGTCACACCAATAGCTTCCAGAACATGATGTAGAGCTGCCCAGCACAATTCCTGTCTTCCACAGGTCCCAGGACGATCTAACAGTTGAAAGAGAATATCTCCTGCTTCGACTATATGGCTGCCATCCATACCATTAGCTGGACTCAGGGCCACCCTTCAGAAACTAAAACCCAAGCAGTTAATCAGTGCGCGAAGTTATGAAGCCAGCCAGGAGATATCCATGGCAAGGAGAAGGAATGCAACCTATGCAGCATGTGCCACTGCAATTGCCGAATTTTTTCTGCAGCAAATCGTAGAGCCAATGCCTGAGAGTGCACCACATCGCAGTCCTCAAAGATGCAGCTCACATAACAAAGTGTGAACAGGGCAAACACAAAATGAGAAATTCAATGGGTGTGTTGCATTACCTGTGCGACGCCACTGCAACTAAATGTCAAAATGAACCTACAAGCTGCTGTATCTTGACTGCTCTGAAGTTGCATTTTAACACATTACATACTTCTGAAGGCTTCATTGATGGCACTCTGATACCCACTTGACGATACTCACATTCTTCTAGCAACATCGCGATTCAAACACAATGCAAGGGAATACAGACAACAACAATGCACATCACGCTGTGTAGTCAGCCTGCAACTATCTAATTTTCCATGCAAAACAGCTCTATCACAGAGAACAGGGAACTACGATGGTCATCACAATTTGTGAACAAGAGAAACTGAGAAACAGAGCTACACTTTCAAAGAAAGCAGCTCCAGAGTCACACGTATTTGGGACGCACCATGTACACATCTTCTTGCTCAGCATTCTCAAATACGTGTGGGAAGCAATACTGTGCACACAACAAAACACAGTATCAGCCAAGGTTCCCTCAACAAACGTGCAATAGCTACAGTATTGCAAAACAGCTTACTCAGATGCTCATGGCTGTGGGAAGCTGCGTTCGGCTCCATGTGGCATCAAGATTCCACACAAGAGGTTTGTATTGGAGAGGAGCAGCTTGTGTGAGCGATAGGACAAGGGAATGAAACCATGACAACTCAATACATGCTTCCAAAAGCATCTTTCTGGCCAAAATTTCTCGAAAGTGAGGCAATCATTATGGCACACCCACAATTTCTAATTCACACAAGACATGTGTGATGCATTTCAACAACTTGATGGGAGAAGTACAATCTATCTTGTTGGTGGCCACTGCAGGTTCATCACTGTTGGAAATGTCGATCAACATGCCTAACAAGGCCGTCTATGCTGTGCTCCAGATAGAACTGGTTGTTACAGACGATTCGGCACAAGACAACGCCCCCTGCAAGGACTCGTTGGGATTAAATACGCAACTCTCACAGTGCCCAGGGGTTCCCTGTCCACCTTCATCCACCTATCCCAGCTTAGATGAGGCCAACACCTATGCCAATCATGCCTGGGGCAAACAACGCCCAAGGTTTGATCTTGAAGCAAAGATGTCTGGAGTGGAAGGATATGTTGGAGTTGTACGTCAAGCCTGGAATCACTGCTCTGGATTGATGATAGCTAAGGAATCTCTGGGAGGTGAACATTTTTCAGGGAGGTCAAGAGCACGACACCGCTGTGTGTCGACATTGTCATGTACATACAACAAACAGCTCCAAGCACTGCTGGTAACCTCTCCCGTTTCAACAACGGGTATACTGCGAACTCGGTGCAGCCGATCCGCCACCGCCTTGCGCGGCTACGCCGTCGTGACCAACAGAGCATGCACGGCAGGCATTGGTGTTGCGTGCACGCCACGCCAAGGATTCGCAGGTGTCTCTACTGGACTCCAGCAAACGCTTTCGTGCGCCCCGAGGGTGCTTCGTATATCCTTTCCAAGTTCTCTGCGCTTCGCGACGCCACTGCCGACGGTGGCCACCGCGGCACCAGCACATCCGTCGTTCTGATCCGTAGGGGGATCCGGTTGTCCGGCGGCTCTGGTGCCCCCACTGTTCGCTACAGAGGTCCAATCTGCAGGGCCTGAGAAGCAGCTGGGCAGGCCCTTTTCCGTCGCCAACCCGCCGTCCTGCGGAGAGGACCGGCTGGCGGCGCCCAAGAGCCGCAGCTCCTCCTCAGACCGCCGAGCACCCGTATTAGGGAGCACGGAGACGCAGTTCGAAAAAGCCCACGGGCCGATCGGTGAAGCACCACGCCGAAAGGCCATCCGCGCGCATTGAGCGTGGACGCTGCACCCCGGCGCTGCCAACCAAGGTGCCCCCTCAATCAGCTCCGAACCCAACAGCCCCCGGGTACAGTCAGACCTGCGGAACGAAGATGGCCCCACGTGGCCCCCGCTACCCAAACCTCGTTATAACACGGGATACGATGTCAGCCACACTGCTTCGCCGACAGGTTTCCTTAGCACCGGTATCAGATGATGAGGCTTCGGTAGCGACACCCGGGCCGGGCGGGGTATGACTGCACACCGGCAGCCCCCTCCTTCCCCTCTTGGCCGCCGGCCGCGCCCCACACGAGCGCGGAACCGCCGGCGGCAAAAGCGAGCGGGCGGGCGGGGTGGGCCGGCACCGCCAGGTGACACCGCGCCGATGCGCGTCGATCCCCGTGCAAAGTGCGTCCCCCTCAAAATTGCCGACCAGCGGCCGGGCTCCGACTGAGCTCCCGCCGCTCTTCAACGGATCCGGAGGAGGGAGGAGTGCGCGGCCCGCGGCAAAACACTATTTCAGCCCTCACCTTCTGCAGCATCCCCGCCTCCGGCCTGCTCCCGCTCCTCACCAGCAGAGAAGACCCCTGCACCGGCCGCGCAACCTTCGGCGTCACGACCCATGCAGCCCCGCAGACCCGCACAAGCAACCAGAACCGGGCGCATCTCCCCCCCAACCCACCACCCCCGGTCAAGGCTCCCACCTGGTCCCCCGGCACCACCGCGACGTTGCAGCTCTGCCAGTCCAGGTCGGCGCCGTGGCTGGGCCTCACGCGCATGGCCACCTCCACCCCCGTCGGCTCGCTGCCGGCCATTGTGAGCGCCTCCTCCGCCATGCCCCTGCCCCGGCCGTCCGGCCCGCGAGCGCGCCGCCCTCCGCCCGGGCGCCCTCAGGTCAGCGAGGTGCCCCTCCTGGCGGTGCCGCTGCGGGGGCAGCCCTCATGCCCGGGCCCCTGGCATTGCAACCTACAGCCGATTCTCCTGATATGGGCGCGTCGCGGAGATTGGGAGCGGCCGCCTGGGATTTTGACGGCCCCCCCTGATTGGTGGACCCTGGGGGCGAATGCGGCCAAATGAGCGTTCCGATTGCCGCGAGCGGCGGAGAGTAGTCAGGACTCCCACATTTTGACTGCAGATTGTGGCATTTTTGGGAAACGCCGTTCCCGGTCGCTCTCGCGCATTCTCGTTGCTGGACGTGCGAGACCAAACTCGAGTCTGCCGGCAGGCGTTGTGCCTGAACCGTGCGACCCGAGCGATGGGGAGGGAGAGAGGCTGCGCGCGTCATTGGCGTTGTGGGGCCGTAGTGTATGGGCAGGGGCGGATGTGCGAGGGGACAGAACGAAACCGCGCAAGCTTATCGCACAAGTTTATGGCCATCCACGGGAAGGACCGCTGCAGTGGTGAGCACGACTGAAATTTTTACTGCCGTTGCACACGCCCGGGAGGCATTCCGTTGGGTCACGGAATGGGTAGGCACACACCACTCCGGAGTGTGGTGAAGGCAGCGCCCAGCGCGTCACGTGCATTTGATTTGGGGCCGTGGTGTTGGGGCGGCGCGCTCGGGCTCGTTTTCTCTACCGGAAAACATGTTCACTGTTTTCCGCACCTGGGCTCCACCAGAATCGCTTGCCCGTCCGAGCTTGGACCCGCCGTGAGAGTCTGTCCACCTACAGGCCACGATCGGATGTGCCCACATTAGGGCACACACAAGAAATGGAATGCCAATAAATCGGTGATACATGGTATGTCACCACCTGTCAGTCAGTGCCCCGATGACTGTCAACGATTGCAAACTTTCAACAGAGGCGCTATGGCATCAGGGGGTAAGGCAGCAGGAAATCGCTGTCAACGGACACGCCCATGTCTCCATGCTATCTTTTGTGAGAAAACACGGGACAACTCTGCGGCTAACCCCTTCCCACCCACCCACCCACCCCAACCCTCCCACCCCCCTCTCCCTGGGGCTCCCTTCCCATCTACTGGTCTGTCCAGCAGTTTTTAATGCTTATCAGGAATGGTGAGGGGGCAACCCCTTTTGCAAATGCAAATGAAAGCAAGATGAGCCAGATAAACGAACACAAGAGAGCAAGATAAGACATAAGAACACAAGTTGAGCCAGATGAACACAAATAGGCGCCGATACCACGACGTCCATTTTAAGCATGTTCCAAACATTTGAGCCTTTGTTGTGAGAATGCCGGGTAATGTTTTGCAGCATCTGCCATTTTGCTGTTATTGTTGTACCTGGTATCCATGGTGTGAGGCTCTGCAAATATCTCTGTGTCAGTAAGATCCAGCCCTGGATTGGACTTGTGCATGCTTCTGATGTGAAATCTGACAACCCTGCGAAGGGCACCTGTTATGACTTTGCACTTGCGTTGAATTGATATATCTTTTCCCAACAATAGTACAGCCTAAACTGGTGGCTGGATTCCAGTCCTGTTGCTAGATGCGTTCTGTCGGATAGAATGCCCAAACATTGACTTGATATAACCTTTTTTGGCATTCATTCAAACAGACTGTTGTGCATCTATGTGCAGTTTATGATTTGACAGGTATGCCCAGACTTGAGAAATTGGTGTCCTTGCAATGGGTGCTTGGATTGGCAGTTGAGGTAGCAGCAACTATGCATGCATCCAAATTGATGACCATCGATATTGTCAACAGATATGGGGGTCATGCTTCAATCTTATTTCAAGCTGTGCTTACTATTTGGGTGTGTTTGGCAGTGAAACAACACCACTGGACAGAACTGAAGGACACTCCCTTGTGCACCTTGGTACAGAAATTGGTGCAGATGTACATTCATGTCTGCATCTTTGTGCAAACTCATGAATACATGAGGATTCCTGGGTGGAGCTGCCAGTGTAGACGGAGTAGAGGTGGTACAAGTAACAACTTGCATGGATTTAACTGTGATGCTATTGTAACATGGTCGATCGTAACCCAGAGCCCAAAGGCCCTCACCGCCCTGGGGACGTTTCTGCTCCGAGTCAAAAGAAAGTGTGTCCTACAGGCAGGAGGCACACCTTGGGGGGCAGTGGAACTAGGGGCTGTATGATTCCATTGCGTGCATCATTTTTTTCTCTGGAAGGAACGAAGCTTTCACGTAAAGGACATGGGTGTATCATTGGTTTTAATTTGTCTTTCGTTTTACCTCGATCTGTGTTGCAGACGGTGGCGAGTGGATCAAATGAATGGACAAAGAACTGAAACACGTATTTGCATGTATATATGCCGGTCATGGCCTGCACGGTGCCCCGCGAGGTCCCCCTTTTTCGATTGAAGACAAATCTGAACAAAGGATTTTAGCAGCAATAACGAGTCTAACTGTCAGCTTCTTCAAACACCCACTCGATGCGCAGCAGGACAGTCATCTCACATGGACTGCTTCGAGTTTGTGCGCTCAGTCCTGGTATCAGCTGATGGTTCAACAGCGTTCACATCTGTGTTTTCACGCAAAGTGATTATTTGGGCAAATCTAAGCCAGTCGTCACAACATGTCTGCGTTCAACCAGCCACCCTCTGTGCACAAGGGTACGCTTGTCTACTGTTCTCCCCTTGAATGGCATTGGATCGCAAGGCATAAGATTGCCTAGTGTTCAACATTGTGTAGCCACAACGATGGGCTTGGAACCCTGAGGAGAGTCTAGTTGTTGGCGGCAAAGTAGCAGTGAACTTGACTGCACAGAAAGGATAGTTAGGGTGCTGATCACCCGTGTTTGGTTTGCACAGTTTAGTGTCCACCACTGTGACAGCAGGGAAAAGGCAGCATTGGTTTGTGTGCGTCGATGGGAACTTGATTCCATATGTCGAACGCAACACTGCTTTTCAGTTCAGTTGCGACTTGCGACTCGCCCACAAAATGCCAGCAGATTGCACTTGCGCTCTTGATCATTTTCGCAATTGCGGTACACACGTGCGGTTATGTGCCGATGACGGGACGATGTTGCCCAGGTCATCAGAGCACAGGGCGCGTACTTGTATGTTCAACAACCAAATTCCTTTTTGTACGCGAATGCCAGCGCCACCATCGACGCTCACCGCCCATTCCGGACAGCATTGTAGAGGTACAGTCAGCTAGTCCTCGTACATTACCGTCGCGTCGCCAGGCCTCATGTCAGTCCGCAAGGCGGTACTCATGCATGTACAGTACGATACCGGCAACCGTGCTGCCCCCGTTGCGCAGCTCGCTCGCCAAACCCCCTGCAACAGCGGAGATCGCGCAGGACAAACGCATCCACCGGTACCGGAAACGCGCCCGTTCGGCCACACGGTCCACCCACACGGCGACCCACCTGTCAGCCGTCGATCGTCGAGATCCTCAGCATTCCATGCCCCCGCTCCATGCGCAGCGTGACGCCCAGCCTGGGAGTTGAAGCCACCCCGCGGTTCCCGCGATCGCCAAGGGCCATCTTCCGCCGCCCGTCCGGAAACGAGCTAAAGATGCCCCCACAGAGCGACCCCGCAGGTTCGCGGTTCGCGTTGTGCACCCACAACCGCCATTCACACCATCGGCGACTTGCTGACGTCCGCCGCTGCTTATTGGACACCGCCGACCTGGACCCGAGGCCGCCGCGCGATGGAGTTCGGGCCGCGAAGGCGGTTGGGAGACTGTCCATACGGCGTTCGCCGGAATGCCGCTGAGGGCTCCTTCCCGCAATTTGAGGGGATCCCTCAGCCGTGGTCACGTCGGACGACGCGAGCCCTCCGGCGGCCGGCCAGTGCGGGCGCGGGCCGAATGCAACGCGACGGTCCCGAGCTTCTCCGCACATGCCCCCTTGTGGTCCTCGCCTTGGCCCACGGGAGGCCGCCAAGGTTGCCCAAAAGCCACCAACCGCGTACCTTTGGCTTGTCCCTCTCCTGGCATTGATGGAAACGGGCCGCCCATGCACACGAGATCGGCGCGAGCACATGTACCGCTGCGGCGTAGCGGTGATGTTCTGTGGCAGTGGGGGTTTGTTGTGGACTGGACATTTTGATAGACGAGTCGTACCAGCCCGTCCCACGCACCGGGGGCCTCGAAGCCCACCATGCTGTGGCCTTTGTGGATGGAATGGGCAGCCAGCATGACACCGACCAATAGCAACGAAGTGACGGTGAGCTTGGAAATGGAACTAACTACAGTAGGGGTCCCTATATAGCGCCCCCCCCGTGACATGGCCACAAGGGGGGCGCTATTGGGGGCCGGGGGCGCTATTGTGTTAACTTTGTTTACTGCATTTGATTGTAGTTTTAGTCAATATGGTTTTGTGTAATGACCAGCTGGCACTGTGGCGGGGCCCAGCGACAGCGTCAAGTGGCAGTGTGGCGCAGCAGCGTGGCAGCGTGGCAGCGTGGCAGTGTGGCAGCGTGGCAGCGTGGCAGCGTGGCAGCGTAGCGGGGTGGGGTGTGCCGTGTGGCGGTGCGGCGATGTGGCGGCGCAGCAGCGTGGCAGCACTGTTGTGATCATCGCGGGCGTGCGATGGCTGCACGACTGGTGTGCCCAGTCTGCCAAATCAGTGCTGGGGTCAGTGGCGCTCTGTTCGGGTCGCCAATTAATAGGGCTCATCAAAAAGTTAGTGCATTAATAATATCACTCAGTTGGCGACCCATGAGGTCTAGATACGATGCAGAGAGATGTCAACAGCCTCAGCACCTTCGCCACACTGATTATTATCAAATTGCAAGCTCAAGGCACTCAGAATGCATGGAGATGACTTTGATGACAAAGATAGATGATGGCAACTGCATCATACGCCCTAAGAGTTCACTGAGATACTATAAAAATGCCGAACACAACGCCAATACGTGGCAGTGCATCACACGGAGACACATGAGTCAAACATGCCCCAAA